ATGCCAGGAAGAGACTCCATCTGCTATAGATATCCTTTGCTTGGTATTAGTAGCTTTTCTGGTACCCAATCTTGGAATTCTCCTGGCTTAATCCAGACATTCACTGGATCAGGTGGAAATGACAATTCCTATAAAAATGCTTATCTGCACAAAATAAAACTTCACCGTGGGGCAAATTTAAAAATTAATAATAAAATCTAAAAAATCCATAATAAACAAAATCTAAACAAATTTAATAATAAACAAAATCTCAAAATCTCATAGAAGTCCTAAATTAATATATTAATAATTAGCAAAATCTTATATAATAATAAACAAAATCTCATAGAATAATACAACCATTAATAATAAACAAAATCTCTAATAATAAACAAATTCTGATTAATAACTGATTAATAATTATTTGTGATTCTATATCTAAAATTCTAAATTCCTTATAATCTGGTATATAATTCCTTTTTATCTTTAATATGCATTTTAATATATCCACTAATATGTTCTATTATAGCTTAGCCTAGAGAATTATATTCTATTTCAATAAGGTGATTAATTTTATGAAATTTCAGAAAATACTAAATCACCTGCTAGTATTAAGCAGGAGCATAATCTGTTTTAATAGTACTAAAGTTCTCATGACAACAAAGCAAGCTAACAAATGTACAATAGTATAATTATTGAGTTCTCCAAATAAAGGAGTAACCCTAACAAACTTAGAACAAGTATCCATGGTAATATAAACAAACTTAGCACAAGTATCTATGACAGCGTATAAACACTATATCATCCAAATAATTCATTAAACCATTGACTGAGAAGATTTCCATGGTATCTTTATAGAAGAAATATATATATACATATGATGTCATTTAAATTAATCTGGTGTCAGCCGATCAATTTTGCTTGGCCAAAACTTACAATATCCTCCATTTAAACTATTACCTATAAACTTATAAATACTTTTCTCAGTGTTAAGACTGCAATAAAATTATGGCAACTGTTGCCTGGTGCTAAGACCATTGCGTGCCATTGTATTTAAACTGCACAGTGTTTAGACTGTAGCCCTGTCATATTTAAACTGCGCAGTGTTAAGACTATAGCATATATACAAATGTTTCACAGTGTTTAGACTGTACTTCACAGTGTTTAGACTGTCGCTTATATTTACATTATTTACAGATATAATATTGTGGAACTATCAAAGTTTATACCTTCACAATTTGAATTGTACAGTGCCTCATACACCTAGGTTGTTTTACTGTTTTCCTTTTCTTTTCACAAGGTCAGGGGACCAGCCCGAACCTGGAAAAAATCTTGGAGAACATATTTTGAGATAATAGGCTTGAGTCTGAAGTGGAAGGGCCAATTCCATCTCAGAGTCAGCATCTCAGTGAGCTCAAACAGCACATGACAATTTAGCTATTGAATTCTGAGGCCTCTGTAAGCCAACATAAAATAAAACAAATCTTTGATAACCATTTTTTATGTAAAGACAGTAAAATTATGGAACTACCAAATAAGCTCTCCATTGTTCTAATAAATCTCTACCTATAATATTTACTGGAAATTCTAATACATAAGGTTTAACAAGCCATTAGTCCATCAGTACTGGATGTTTTATATTGTACACTAACATTAATTATTGACACTGGCCGAACTCCAACTCCTTTAATATCACATTTCATAATTTGAGTAGTCCAATTAGATGGCCAGTCATCCTTTTAATAATAGTACTATCTGATCTAGTATATAACAGAAATAGGATTAGTATTCCAAATCCTCCAATTCTTTTTTGGGAAGATGATCCAATAGGTATAAAAGGAAGAAGAAACAACTGAGCAATTTTAGCACCTATAGTAATAGGATATGAACTATT